TAGGACTAACGGCTTCCGGTTTGGGCTTAGTATGGGCCAAGTGGGCTTAATCAAGCATATCATAACACGTGTTCTTTGTCATACTGCGCACTTTAGCTTTCGATGATATCGCCTACTTTAGCAACGAACTCATAATACAAAGGCTTTTTTTTTTGGAGCCTCACAAAAATGCCCCTTTTTCAATACCCCTTTTCAAAAATACCCCCTTTGGATGTCTATTTTTAAAAATACCCCTTTTATGTACAAAATGACTAAATTACCCTTCTTTTAATAAAAGATATCATAAATATATAAGAAAATATAACAAAATTAGGTCCACAAAATACAAAATATTTTTTGGCGGGAAAAGTGATCCCCCAATTTTTCCCGCCAAAACACTTGTAAAAATTTGTAAAACCTTTAAAATACCTTGTAAAATTTTCCCGTAAAATTTTTGGCGGGAAAATTTTTCCCGCCAAAAATTTACAAGGTATTTTAAAGGTTTTTTACAAGATATTTATAAGGTTTTACAATGTATTTTAAAAGGTTTTACAACGTATTTACAAGGTATTTATAAGATATTATAAGATTTTACAAGCTATTTTATAAGGTTTTTACAAGTTATAAGGTTTTACAAGTTTTTTATAAGGTTTTACAAGTTATAAATACCTTATAAAACCTTAAAAGTACCTTGTAAAACCTTTTAAAATACATTGTAAAACCTTACAAAACACTTGTAAATACCTTGTAAAAAACCTTTAAAATACCTTGTAAATTTTTCCCGCCAAAAAAATTTCGCAAAAAAAATTGCGGAATCACTTTTCCCGCAAAAAATTTTTTTGGCGGGAAAATTTTTTGGCGGGAAAAATTTTTACGGGAAAATTTTACAAGGTTTTTTAAAGGTTTTTACAATTGTTTTGGCGGGAAAATTGCGGGATCACTTTTCCCGCCAAAAAATATTTTGTATTTTGTGGACCTAATTTTGTTTCAAATAAGGGTAAAATGGTCATTAAAAATTAAAAGAGGGCAAACTTAAAAATGGACTCTCAAAGGGGGCATTTTTGAAAAGGGGTATTGAAAAAGGGGCATTTTTAACAATTTCTCTTTTTTTTTTTTTTTTTGACAAAGAACGATAATTGATAATTCAATTAGGGAAGATATTTTCGCAACCGGAGAGACAATCGGAGATCGGAAACTATGGCCGGACGAGACCGTTATCTTCCATCGTCGGCAGTTTCAACTTCATCATCTTCAAGATTAGTAGAATCTCAATTAATCGAATCCGATCGAAATCGAGCTCGATCTGTAATCCTCGAGGATCGAATCGCAATTCAACACCGTGAAATCCAATCTCTTCTCAACGATAACCAACGATTAGCTGTGGCACACATTGGAGTCAAAGACCAGCTCAATTTAGCCAAGCGTGAGCTCGAACGGTTACTTGAAACCGCTGCTAAAGTTAAAGCGGAAGGAGAAGCTAAGGTGCGAGAGGTTTATCAGAATGCGTTGAGGATGGAGGCGGAGGCTCGTGTGATTGATGGACTTGGAGCTGAGCTTGGTCAGGTTAGGTCTGATGTACAGAGGTTAGCTAATGATAGACAGGAGTTAGCTACGGAGTTGGCTATGCTTGATGGTGAGATGGTTAAAGCGAAACCGAATTCGGATCGAGCCATTGAGGTTAAGGCGGAGATTGAGATTCTTAGAGGAGAAGTTCGTAAAGGAAGGTGAAATTTTGAATTCTCTTTGTTGGTTTTTGTTGGAACTGGGAACATTGCATTTGTTATCTTGTAGTGTATATACTCATATGATGGTTTTAATGGTTTTGAGGTGGTGAATTTTTAGATGTTTATGGAGTAGTAATGAATTGTTTGGGGTTTGGGATTTGAAACAGGGCTGCTCTTGAGCTTGAGAAGAAGACACGAGCTAGTAACCTTCACCATGAACGCGGTATGGAGAAGACTATCGATCACTTGAATCGTGAGATTGTGAAACTTCAGGCAGAATTGGTTAATCTGGAGACCAAAGCTAGAGAAGCAAATGCAGATGCTGAGGCAGCTCCAAACCCAAGTAAGTTTTTAAGCTTTCTTTAATCATCTTGCAATCACATTACAGGGTGTTTACTGGTCAAGTAATGAATTTGAAGCTTTTTGCTTATGTTGAGAATTTTTTTATGTAAGGCCCTGGATTGGCTGCAAGTTATGGAAATACGGAAAACATTTATGGAGGTCAATCCCGGCAATACCCGGAGGCCAATGGTTCTCACGAGGTACACATGAGTCTGGGTAGATAAGTAGTAGTTTTACGTGATCATCTATCTGTTAAGAGTTTTCCTATTTTACCATTATTATGGAGAAGGAGAAGATTGGACTAATTGTTTGTACTGATCGTCTTAGAGATATGTCAGCTCTCTCGCCCAGAAAGCTAGTTCTTAGGGAAGAGTTATGTCCATAGGTCGTAGTAAGTGTCCAACTTGTAGAAGTATCCGTTGGTTAGTGAGAATTGTTGTAAACTCATAATGGATTGAATTCAAAGCTTATGATCTCTAATTCTCTACTAAGATTGCGCTTTTACTTTTTCTTTAACATTGGTCGTTTCTACTAGTGACGTTTAACATCACCCAAATATACACTTCAGGCATATGGAGCATCAGATAGTCTCCCTCAAGACCCGTCTACTCCATTGCAGCATCCTCTGAATAATACTCAACATTCTAGTGTGTTGTGATAGTGTCTTGCTTACGTTTGAATAGGCAAACCTCGATTTGACAATTTTTGTTTTAATGTATCTTATTTAGGGAGTGTATACAACCAAATAATTTATATTGATTGAAGTTTTTAGATCTTTCGATTATTTTTGGTGAATTTTAGAAATTTTTTATGATTTGTTATTAAAATTCTTGGAAATATTAACTTTAGAATTTGGTGAATCTTTGTGTTTTATCTTTACAATCTCTATACTATTAAAAGAGAAGTACAAATGTAAATGGGTCGGGTCAAAATCAGAAAATTGACCCAAAATTCTGAAATCGGATCATAGAATTTTTTTTGGAATATGATTTCTAATTAATATTTAATAATAAAAAATCGAACCAAAATATTGAAATCAAATAAAATATGATTGTATTTATGGTAACTAATTATAAAAGCATATTCCGAACAATATTATACATTAATTACGTATAATATATTTGTTCATATATTTTTGAACCTAATTCCATAACAATCAACGTTTTGTCATTAATTTTGCTTATTTTAGCCAATTAGCATTAATTGAAAGATATCTTACTTGCTTCAAAAGATTTCTAGAAAATTTATCACAACTAACCCATCTATTTTATAAATTAAATAGATATTTTTATTTTGGTCGTGTAAATTAAATAGATATGAAATCCATGTAACTAATTTTAATTTAATTAAATTAAACGAAATTATGGTATTTTCATACTGATAGCTTACCAAAGAAGTTTAATTTTAAAATTATAAAGATTTCTTGAATATGATTTTTAGAATTATTCAACAAGATGATAAATATTTATTAAATTTTGCGAATCATGAAAAATAATAATTAATTTTTAATCGTTATATTTCACTTTTCAAAGTTTCAATCTCTCATCTAAGAAATAGGATATAGATTCTATTATTCCTATGTCCAAACTCTATTTTGTTGTATGACTAAATAATATTTCCACTAGAGCTGTCAAAGCGAGTTGATTCGTCCCGTTAAACTCGTTTTGTGATAGGCAAAATATATTTTGACATATGGTTAGTTGGTCCACACGACCCGCATATAGCATATATGAAACACAAATCCGTCCCGCGAATGTATGCTGATTTGCGGGGTTGTCTGTGGATTTTGTTTAAATAATTTTAAAGTAATGAAAATTTAAAATACTACTAAAATAAATAAATAAATAAAAATTAGAGGAAATAATTTTATATCTCATTATATTTATAAATATTATAATTTCATTTATTAAAAGTTTTTAAATTACCAAATGTTGAATAAATTATACTTTTATCAATAAATACTAACATGCAGGCTGATCCGCCAACCCGCGGACGAAAACCGATTAAAACCTATGATCCACTGCGAATCAATCCGTGTGGCCCGTTTATTTACGGGTTTAATAAATTTTCAAAAATATGCCCCATAGTGAGATGATTTGGGCTCGACCCACGGTTTTTGACTTATTTTTACTGCTCTAATTCCTATGAATCATCTAATTTTAGAATTCTAAAACATAAAATTCTATTTTTAATCATAATTAATATGATCGGTTTAATTATAAACAATTTAACATTTTCTCTACAATTCGTTATTATGAATATTTATAAGTACACTACCCGATTCACTCAACTTAAAACACGCACTATTAAAATCAACGTATGTAAACCAATATTCTCCCGCGGTGGACCGCGGGTCCGATCCTAGTTTCCTTTAAAATACCATGTATCTTTTAATTTATGCTGGCACACCTCATTTATCTTCTAATTTAACGTTATCCCAAATTTTGCGATCTCAAATTGAGCAAAGGGAGAACAAGAAGGGTGGCATATTTTGGTAACCTATATCATTCGAAGAGGATCATAATGTATTCTTAAAATACGAAACAATATAGCAAAAATACCATGAAACTTTAGAGGAAAAAGAAGATAAACCTTATCTTCCAGCGCGTGTGTGTCACGCTCTGTGTGTGTGTGTGTGTGTCACGCTCTGCGACTTCTCTCCCAGCCAAACCACACCGGAAAGCTCAGATCTGCACCGCGATTCGCCTCTCCGGTCACTGGCGCTCCTCGCCGTGGCTGTGAGAGGGACCCCCTTTGCCTCCTGCGTTGATTGGGCACCTCCTCTCCGGCGATTTGACGAGCAATAGAAGACGGTTGTGTGTGGTTAGATCTACGGTGACTCTTTTCTGCGGCTGAAAAGGCGTCGGCTTGTCTCTGCTCCCTTCAGTTAACATGGCGATTCCATCTCACCGAAGATCTAGCTCCGCCACAGGCTTGCTCAAGGACGGCGGCTAGGGCTGAGTTAGGTTTTTCTAAGGTGGCTCTCGGCAAGTTTTCCACGCTGCATTTCTTTGTAGCGTGTCTCCTGGGTTTGTCTCAGGCGACGATTAGGGTATTCTCCGACAAGTGGTGAGTGAAAGGGGATCATTCTAATCTCTTTCTCTTACCCTTTGGCGTGCGGCGGATCTCCTCAGAAGGTTTCTCGACGGTGTTTCTTGCTCTGTCAGGGATTGGTAAGCTTGCTTCTCCCTCCCTTTGTGATTGCTGCTTGTTCTCCCGATCTGCTCTCTTTGCTCCCGCCCTGTTGAGGTTCCGTTTGGCTCCCTGGTTCGTTGCCTCTTTTTGGAGTGTGATGATCTCTGTCGCTTGTAGTGCTTTGGTTTGGTGGTTAGTGATTTGGTTGCATTCCTCCGGCTAGTCCGATTTATAGCTTCTGTCCTCGTTGGGATCTTTTCCAAAGTGTCTTTTTGGCGCTGTAAACTTGACTTTGTCCGAGATCTGATATACTTATGCAAGTTTCTTGTGAGTTTCGGCTGGAAGGAGTGGCTGTCTCTGCTTGATCATAGGATTGAGGGCTGCCTTAGATCGCAGATTCGATGGCAATTCTCCACGCATCTCTGGCCATGTCGCACAAGTGTGCTCTGTTTTTGATGTTCGGATTTGTCTGCGGCCATGTTTTGCTTCCTCATTCTCAAGGCTCTCTTCCTTCAGCTAAGTGAAAGTTTGCGTGGCTCGTAAAGCTTCAGTTTTGGTCGGGTTACTCTGTGATTGACCCTTGTGTTTTGGAGGTGTTAGTATGGCTTTTGGAGGATAAGATGTTGCTCATGTCCATGCTACCGACATCTGGAGGATCTTAGTAGAGGACAGCATTGCCTGCCGATATCAGCTCGTGTAGCTCCGCAACTGTCATGACTCGGGCTCACGTTGAAGGGACTTCCGCTCCGCTTTGCGTCAATCTAATGTTTAGCCAATCCTTTTCTGCTCTTGCTTTCTGCCATGTTTTTGCTTAGGGGAGTCTTCTTATCGAGTTCACTTCATAGTCTTTTACCAAGAGCTTCACCGCTTAAGGTTTTAGTCGATGATTTGATTTTCGAATGTCTATGCTTCCATGTTTTTTAAACTTTTTTGGCATGGGACCATGTTTTTAGGAATTACTTATGTAAAACCTCAACTTTCATTTCTTGAAATGATATTTACATTCTTATCAAAAAAAATGAAACTTTAGAGAAAACGCAAAAGGTGGAAAAACGGTCTATTTCACCACGAGAAGTATCGCATCATAACAGATAGAGCCCAAACTTTGACCCCGATCCTAATGTCTCTGAAATGGAAGTTCAATTCCTATTTCCCCGCGAGACGAAAGTTCAACACCTAAATGTCCCCGAATAGAAAGTTCGAGAGCTAATACCACACAGAACTGGGTTTAATCGGTTTACTGTATTCAAAACCGATTAACGAACCAAGTAAACCTAATTATAACCAGATTAAACCAGTTTTTTGCCCAATTGCGACCCGACCCGATTAAGACTCTAAACCCAAAATCCCCTTTCACCCACACAGCTTTTGATCAAACAGATCACTTAGAGACAACACACGACAACGCACCAATCCATTCTCATTGCATTTAGGACATCGCTTGAACCGTTCGTCTTGTTCTTCAAACACTTTGGTGCTTCCGTCGCAGTTAGTACAAGGCACAAACCTTGCATCCCCACAGCTACGGCATGTCCCCAAGCGTTCACAAGCAGGGAAATCTTTCAACATCTCTGCTAATTCACCACCATCTCAGATTAAACCAGTTTTTTGCCCAAAATTATCAAAATTAACCCAACCCGATCCAACTTCTTCTTCTTCACCTGAAAATATTGATAAGCTTCAATTAGTCTCTCTTCTTCGCAATGAAGATCTCTGAGATTGATGAGATTAACCAAATCTGATTTTTGAAGCGGATATGGAGGTGGATTTGGCGGAGCGGCGGATCCGGTGGTTAAGATGGAATCATGGAAGATGATGAAACATCGTGGAATCTGGCCTCTCGGAGGAGCAGAGAAGATACGTAAAAGACGCAATGGCGAATTCCATTGGAGAGATCGGAAAGCAAAACGTGATCTAAGAATGAGACAGGAGCATAAATTCATCAATTATATGTGTTTAATTTACGCCTAATTTGGTTGATTTGATTTCAGAATGGGTAATGAAACAGATGCTCTCTCAATTTGATATATGGAAAGAGGTATAGATTTCAATTTGTTTTGATTTCAATATGTAAATGATTCGTCTTTTTGAGGATTTGATTTGAAAAATCATGAAAAATATAATCTAGTTTCAAAGGTTATTAGATTTATACTCTTCAAGTCACATCAAAACTCAAGAGATTGAAGATAATGAATTCAAAAAGAAAGAAAGAAAAAAACAGAAGAGGGAAGAAGATGAAGAAAACTAATCGAGTGAAGAAGAAAGTTGGGTTGGGTGGGTTTGGTCGGGTCATGTTCAATTAGTTGTTATTGGATTGAAATTGGTTTAATTTCGTTTTTAGTTGGTTCATCTTTGTTTGGTAAACACTAAACCGAGCAAAACCAATATTTATGGGTAATTAGGTGAAAACTATGGATTTAGGGAGATTTAGGCTTCAAACTATGGTTTCAGAGACATTAGGACCGGGGTCAAAGTTTGGGCTCTATCTGTTATGATGTGATACTTCTCGTGGTGAAATAGACCGTTTTCCCCGCAAAAGGTAGATGAAAGTGACGGAAATACTGTAAGTTCTACATAAGCTAAAAACTCTTTTGCCAGTAGAGCTTCAGAGTTCATTCTTCCAACTTCTTTGCAAGCAAGGCCACGAGACCATTGGTTAACATGGAAGATGTCGCGAAATTAATAGCATATTTTGATAGTTAGCCATGTGTTGTAGTAATTAACTAAACAATAAACAAGGAAGATAATAAGGACTCCTTTACGCCTGCTTTGTTTGTTTCATGGTGTTTTTGCAAAATAATCCTCCAAATGATAATGATATTTGAACCAAACTATACGATATTTAGGGTTGTTTTGTTAATTAGTAGTTTTTTTTTGTATGTTCTTATACCATCCTCATTGGTTATCAAAATAAGGATGTTTTTTTTATTTTATATAACTTTGGTGATCCTAAAGGTTTTTTAGGCTCAAAGACTAAAACTAGGATGTCTTTAATATGTGAATAGTAGAGATTTCTAATAGATACTTTAGACCATTTGATCGCTACTATTACATATTAAAATGGGAAAAATATCATTAAAATCCTCAACTTAATGGAAACGTTGATTTAAATCCCCAACTCAACACGAAACGAATTTAACCCTTAATTTGAGTTGACTTTTCAAATAAATACCCAACTTTTGTTGACTTTGCCATTTTAGTCCCGACGTTAAGTAGGTTAACGGAATCCAAAACCGGGGTTAATTATCTGTTAACAACCCCGTTAAGACAAAACGACGTCGTTTTCTCTTAAGACAAAACGACGTCGTTTTGTCTGTGTGACTCAGTTAAATCGATTTCTTCCCCAATTGAGAAACAATTATCCCCAATTCACCAGAAACGTAACCCTAAAAAGAGAGAAATCGAATTACGACTTAAATTGTTTGGGTTTTCAGATTGTGTGTCTCATAACTTGATCTTCCTACTCCTCCAATGAGTTCAAGTTCAGTGTCATCTGGTGCTGTCGGAGATCGTGGTTTTCCGTTGAAGTGTTCATGTGGAGTAGATGTGACGATCTTCACGTCGAAGACTCAAGAGAATCCAGGAAGGCCTTTTTTTCAGTTGTAAAACGAAAAGAGATCCGAATTCTTGGACAAACAAAAGAGATGTAAGTAGATTTGGTGTTTATGTTGTGTCTTTGTGTAGTTTAGTAGCTAAACTTGTCTGATTTGGTTTGCTTGTGCAATAGGGTCATGTGTTTAAGTGGGTTGAGGATGCCGTGTACGAAGAGGTAGAAGATGCCTTACCAAAATTTGAAATCATTGCAAACGAGATTAACAAAGCCAAATCTGAGGCTAATGAGCTTAATGGGATGTTACAAGAACTAAAAGATGAAGCAATCTTGAGCAAAAAGGAAATTCGCAAGTTGAAAGTGTGCTTGCAGGTGTGTTTTGCGTGGCTTTGCTTGATCAGCATTGTCATTGTTTACATGATGCTTAGTCAGGCAAAGAAAAAGGAATTAGCTATTGGTTACTAGTTGTAGAGCTTGTAATGACAGTGTAAGACTGATTTGTGACATTCTAATGATATTGTAGTGTTTAATTTGTTGTTGTCTTAATGAATTATGTTGGAATCATCTACTCACAATGAACATAAAAACATAAATAGTGATTGAAAGTAGATGCATAACATGTCATAAAACAAGACAAACCAATATCAAACTACAAAAGAGACAAGTCAATCCGAATACAAAATACCAATACATGTTCTAGATCGGAGCAAAAAAAAAAAAACAAGAGAGTTTCTAGTGCTTAGCTTGAACATTAAAACCATGATCTAGCTTGAACATTCAAACCAACTACCAATCCATGTTCTAGCTTGAACATTCAAACCATGATCTCCAGCCTTGTGGTCCTGGTTGTGCTTGTTGTGAAACGTGTGGCTGTGATCCTTGTGATCCTTGTTGTGAAACTTGTGGTTGTGATCCTTGTTGTGAAACTTGTGGTTGTGATCCTTGTTGTGAAACTTGTGGTTGTGATCCTTGTGATCTTTCTCCTTGTGAAAAAACTTGTGGAAAGCCTTGTCCAAATAAAGCATTCCTTGGTTCCTGTTTTAAAGCAATATATGAATACCAATCCAGAAATAGACATGTTTAAAAGCAGACAATAACACTAACTAACCTGAAATTTCCTTGGTCTGCCCCTTGGTCTTTTTGGCGCATCCTCAACCATCTGTTTTGTACACGATGCCTTGTTATGTCCTTCTTCCTTACAATTTGAACACGTGATGATGCGGTTCAGGCGTGATAATCTTGTTGATGAAGAGGTTTTTTCATATCTGCTTTTTCTCCTAGCATAGTTGCTTGGTCTCCCAGGATTACCTTTTCTCCATGGTGGTGGCAAGACACCTAACCTATTCACTCTAGGCCACAATAACTTCCCTTGGACTGGCGCAATACCATCATTGTAAGTTAGCTGCCACATCCTTGTCGTGTACCAATCTTCCACATAGTCTTCCACTTTTTGTCTCTTTCCAATAATAACAGAGGCAACATGAACACAAGGTATACCTGTCATTTGCCATTTCCTGCAACCACATGTTTTGGTATTCATATCCACATAATAGTTGGTACCAAAATGTAGTATCTCATGTTTATTATGCCTAGCCATGCTTCTTTCACAAAATTGGGCTCCTGCAATCATCTTCTCTATTTCAGCATGTGCCCTCTTCGTGAACCTAGTTTTCAGCCTCCCAGCAATAACAAACCTCTTCTCATTGCGTACCATACATTGTCGCCTAATGTCTTCTAGCATATCCAGTAGAGGTTTCCTCCTTGCTTTTCGGATTGTCCTATTGAAGGACTCACTGAGGTTGTTCAAGTTATCATTGCAGCAGCTTCCTATTCTAAAGAATGCTCTAGACCATTCCATTGGTTTTGTGATCAGCAGAGAAGCAGCTGCACCTGGATTGTAAGCCTTCAATGCCTCCATATTAGCTGCATATTCTCCTGTGGTGTAGCTCCTTGCAATCTTCCAGAATAGACGTTGCAGCTCCATATCATGACTGTTTTTCTTCCAGTTCTCCATGATGTGTTTAGCACATTGACGATGTTCAGCTGCTGGAATGATGTTCTTGATAGCTTTCACTAAACCCTGCAAAGTAGTTATACAAAATTTAGTTTCTTTAAACAGTTAAAAGAAGCAAACAAAAGTTAGATTGTGATACTAACCGACTGTTTGTCTGAGATGATTGATGTGTTTCTTCCATCTCGAAGATCCAAATGGACAGCAAGCAATCTCACAAACCAGTCCCAATTATCATCATTCTCTATCTCTACCACAACCCAAGCAATGGGAACTATTCTATTATCCCCATCTCTCCCAGTTGCAGCTAATAGATGCCCTTTAACATCCCATTTAAGAAAAGCACCATCTAATCCTAATATAGGCCTACATGTATGTTTCCAAGACTCTTTTGTGATTTAAAACAAATAAAGAGACGGCTAAACCTTTGCAAGCTACCAATGGTTGGCCCTAGAATTGTCTCGATCTCAAATATAGTCCCTGAATTACTTCTGAAAATCTCTGCTTGATAATCCCAAATCTTAGAGAAATGATCCTCATGAATAGCTTTTCTTTCTCTCATAACCTTTGTTTTTGCCTTCGAACACTGTTCTTCAGTGACAGTCAAGTTATACTCTCTCTGGATCTCTGCAACCATCTCATATTTGGTTATCTTAGGATTCTTTCTCAACCTCTCAGAAAATAACCACGCAATTGTTCCTCTCTTTAGCATCTTTGAGTAACCTGATCTCACACATATATGATTGTCTTCGTACACCTTTATTTGCATCTTGTGTTTCTTCTTATCATATGAGCAATAACATCTCCAACCACACTTCACATCCGTATCAGAACACTTAGCACCAACCTTCAAACTCTGAGACTTATACAACTTAATATCATATCGCGTTTTCAGAGAGTACCTCAACACAGCAATCTTGAACTCTTCTGGGGAACTATATGTATGCCCCAACTTCCGAAGCACTTCAGGATCTTCAGGTTGTTGTTCTCCAGTTTCAGCTTCGACCTCATCTTCATCGTGATCACTATCTGAGAAAGGATCTGGAATCCTATCTTCATCCCATATATCGTCTCCACTGTCTGCATCACTAACATCACCCTCATCTCTTGCAGCCTCTCCAAAGTGTTCTTCAAAATCATGGCACTCTTCTTCTACTACACCTAACTGGTTACCATTTTGCTCATCAGGATATCTAACCTCATCCAAATCTTCATCCCCACCAACCTCACAGTCATCTCCACTCAAACTCTCACCATCTGTTTCGTCTTTGTCATTGGCAGGAACCCGTCGCGACTTGGGTGGACGAATTGAACAAGCTTCTGGTTCGGTGTCGTCTTTGTCTTTGGCAGCAACCCGTCGCGACTTGGGTCGACGAATTGAACAAGCTGTGGTACCACCGTCGTCTTTATCTTTGGCAGCTACTTCTGGTGTCTTTTGTTTCGATCGAGCCTTTGATTTACCTTTCGATTTAGCCTTCAATTGCTCAGCAGAAGCAGACATCTCACCAGAAGGCTCGATGGAATTCGGTGGTTTTTTTCGCGGACTTCGGGAAGCAAGATGCTTCTGTCGCGTCATTACGGCAGAGCAGAGCAGAGGCAAACAATCGGAGAGGAATTGAGAATTCTCGATTGGAATTTTGATTTCTAGGGTTCCAATTGCTAGAATTGGGGATTAGGTCGTGTTTGTCAATTGGTCCGTTAAGACAAAACGACGTCGTTTTGTCTTAAGAGAAAACGACGTCGTTTTGTCTTAAGAGAAAACGACGTCGTTTTGTCTTAACAGGGTTGTTAACAGATAATTAACCCCGGTTTTGGATTCCGTTAACCTACTTAACGTCGGGACTAAAATGGCAAAGTCAACAAAAGTTGGGTATTTATTTAAAAAGTCAACTCAAATTAAGTGTTAAATTCGTTTCGTGTTGAGTTGGGGATTTAAATCAACGTTTCCATTAAGTTGAGGATTTTAATGACATTTTTCCCATATTAAAATCTACGTGATTTGTATCCTAACGATTTGTATAAAAGGTATACGTAATTTGTTATGTCCCACACCTCTTGATGCATATGAATATTATGATACTAATTTGTTATAATATTAGTATCATCTCCAAGAACGTCGAAAGTCTTGAGAAAGGTTCGGAGAATCCATCTGCTTTATGGATTATGAATTTTACACTGTTGGAGCAGATTAAAGCAAACTACAAACAAAAACCGAGACAGAAATAATAGGGAAAAAATCATTTCAATTTTGAAACATTTATTGATGGGACAAATGTTAATTTAGAAAGTTGCAGCGTTCTCATTTTTTTTAAGGTGAATGCATTAAATTTTCTTTCAAAAAATTAAGGACATAACTCATTTCATTTGGCACCTAACCTTTTACCCCGTTATATATGACAAAAAGATGGTTCACAATATTAAATAAAATTTTGATAATATACACATATTAAAAATGAATTTATATTTCCAAACAATTTTACAATTAATTCTCTAATATTTATATAACCAAACACAACTAAAAGTTTAACAATAATTATAAAATTTCAAAATAATATTTCACAATTCTTAACGTCAAGCATGCTGCGAAGATCAAAGAAAGTTGCTCGCTTTATGGTTGTAACCACGTTGTCTATGAGATCGGAAGTTGGTATTGTTGTCCTACTCACGAAAATATGTCTCATGATCTCTTGGCTCTTAAGTCGGCCTATTAAGTCGGCCTACATCATCAGGGGCGGATCCAGAACAAATATTAATGTGGGGCACATACTATAATATGAGTTTTTTAAAATATAAAAACTGCAAAAAATAAGAAGAATACCATTTTACTTGATTTTTCTATTTTTAAACTAAATATTGAAACAAAAATTTATTAAACTCACTACATATATTTATATTTTTCTTCAGATTTTAGATTATATTGGTTTACATTAGTGTGACTTGAAACTGATATAGTGATATGTTATAAAAATTACTAAAGAATCAATGTGTTTTGGTATATAAAATAAAATAAAAAGGAAAAAAATGTAGAATAGAATCAATAGAAAAATAGAAAAACATGAAAGAAGTCCAGAATAAAAAGAAAAGGAAGTATGTGTACAACAAACAAAAAGAAAATTGGAATTGTGGGAAAAAAAAATGAGAAAATAAAGTAAGACTACAAGGATCGAAATCAGGAACTTTATTTTCTAATGGGGCACCAAACACCAATTGCTCTAAGTAATAATTACTAGTAATATTCAAAACTTTTTTTATAAAAATCAGTATGGGGAACGTGCCCTACCCCTCTCCTCTTTAGATCCGCCACTGTACATCATCGTAGATGGATTCTTCCGTATAAACAATAACAAGAATCACAAAAAGGATCAGATAAACGTTTTGGCTATAGGTCAATAAACCATATTTCTTTTCTTCCTTTGCGTGCCTCCAGTTTTCATATTCGTCTATAATGTCATTCCTACTTAAAACTTCCTTTTTCATCTCTTTGAAATGAGTACCAATGTTGCACATATATCAGACAGACCATCCTTGTGGATGTTGGCTGTAGCGGCGGTGATCGACGCAGCGGCTGTAGCGGTGGTGATCGACAGAGCGGCGGAGGTCGACGGAGCAGCGGGTCTCATTCCCAATGGTCAATATGCATCTAGGGTAAGGGAAGGTTGTTTCCTTTTTGGTTGCAACCATGTGGTTGAACCGAGAAGAATGTATTGTTCAAGCATCCATGAGAACATTGCTCAGGAATTGGGTTCTCTTCGGTCTGCATATGTTGTTATTGATGGATTCTCCGGTCTTTATTATGACAAGAACCACAAAAGAGATATGAGAAGCGTAGTGAGTTTACTTAAAAGTGCGGATGAAGGAGTTGATGTTGCAATTCCACTTATTGAAGATCTTGGGATATTCGAACGTGTTCCATGGGAATGGGATTTCATCAATTATCAATTCCTAGATGGAGAAAGTGATAGGTCCTAGTTGTTCTTTCACCCTATTAAAAATCATGTCCTTAGCTATTTTGATTACAATGAGATCAAGTGGAGCAGCTTGAATTACTATCTCCATCAGTATCAAATGGATGATACGTGACTACGGTTAGGCCACACTTATGACGTTTTAATTAATTAGTTTTGGTGTTTTATTTATGAATTTGGTTTTCTTTTTTTTTATGTTAAAGTGTTTTCTATTAGACTACTTACAATGGTGCTTTTAAAAACAGTTGAAATATTTATTTAACTACTGAATCAATTACAATTGTGTGTTATAAAAAAAAAAATTGACGTGGAGTAAACAGAGTTGAATCTCTTCAATCGTGTGAACCAAAAAATATGGGCCTCACAATGCCACGTGGCAATCAATGAGTGGGTCAATTTTTAGGTATATGATAATATATGGATAATGACCGGTGTACTGTTTTATTGGATACTGAGATTAGATATTC